TGGAGGTGGCAGTGAGACATTTGCAGGATACTGATTCTTCAGATTTTGGAGCGAGGTCACTTTCTCCTGCAGATGGGACTGAGTGACCTTCATCTGTTCATCCCATGCTTTCCACTGCTTCTCATACTCTTGAAGCTGGTCTTTGTGAGGGTAGGTTTGAAGCTGATGCTGCCACTGTTGGTTCATTGATCGCTCCCAATCTTTATGAAGCTGCTGGAACTGTTTTTGCTGCGCCTCATAATGTCGCAGCTGCATGTCCACTGACATCGTCTGCAAAGAGAAGACAAGAATAGTTTCAAAATACCATCTTAGTTATTTTCAGAGCCACATACTTCAGTATCACTTGTAATATCACAATTTCTGACTTGGGCAGAAGCTTGAGGAAGAACTACACTGAAAACAAAACCAAACACCAACTGTGACATAGAAAGTTACTGTGACAATTTACACATTTTATGACTAGAGGACATTTATGTATAAAAGGCACTTTTTTTTGGCTTTTTTTTTTAACAGGACAGCTGAAGAAAGCTATAATCAAAGGGCTCAAAGCTTGCTATTACTGGATGCTAACAACAGATAAAGGCCAAATCAATCTTCGTGCATTCAATATATACAGTATGCGGCAATTTCTCAAGGTTTCAGTTTCTGCTATTAACCTGCTTGGAGACGCTTCAGCTGTCAGCAATTATTTTTCTCTAAGCCTCTGCCAGATCATCTTTATTTGCACAATGAAGCTCCTTTCAAGGAGGTACTGTCTTTCATTAAGTGTAGATACAGGTCCTAATATCCATGCCTTGATCTTGACTGAGATTTTTAGGGTTCACACGTAAGAGATTTTTTTTTTAAACAAGCAGACAGCCCAAGCAACAAAGAAATGCTTAATGTACAAACTCCGTCAACCCAGAAAAAGCTGACTCAACTTTCTAATACAATAATCGACTTCTACTTAAAAGCTTAAAGGTTGCAACACTGATAATTATCTAAACTTGTCATCAAGACTTTTTATTTTATTTCACTGATTATTTAAGTCAAAAATAATGTAAGAGTGATTTTCTTAATTACTTTAACTGCATATTTTTGGCATAAATATTTACTTTATCATTGTACAAATTCATTTTTGTACTACACAATGTTGTAAAAAAGAGCAGCTACCAAATTACTTCATGCATTCATCTGTTTACGTGACCCTTCTCCTGAACTGTTTTCCCAGCAGTAAAACATTCAAAGCTGAGTAAATTCAATATTGTGTTCAGCTTTGCTCCTGCATCAACCAGGTATGTCAAAAAATCTTATGACAAGTGTAAAGTCTTGTATTTCTCATCCTATTGAAGCTTCATCATCATCTGTCAATTCTTTTTTCATTCTGAAGTGGCAGTAGGAAAAGCGGATGTAGACTTTTCGACCCAAGCAGAAAAAGTAGCTAGACAAATGAGCCAACCATGACAAATTATTCAACTACTTGTTTTTCAGCAGACCATGAGTGCTGTGTCACCCAGGAAGTCTATCAAACACCATCTTCTTAATGTTTCACCTGTAAATGTGGAGGCTGTTGCATGATCTGTTGATACTGCTGTACTATCTGCTGCAGCTGTGCATGCTTCTGCATTATTCTCTGATACTGAAATCCAACCCGGTGATGGGGATGCTGCTGCCACTGAGCTGCTGCAGCTTGCAATTGCTGCAATCTCAAATCTTCCTCGGGGTCATCAGGAGGTTCAATATTGAGCTAGAGAAAAAAGCAAATACTATAAGTAAAGGATAGCTTCTTCTGTCAGAAGAAAAACACACTTGGCCACCACTCAGTTTACAGGAAGTTTATGAGTGTTCGTTATTCTATCACTCCGTATTTCAGGGTTCTGGCCACCCATAGCTAATGGAAGGCTGCTTTTTATTTCATTTATTCTTAATGTGAATAGTCTGATCTAAAGGTCAGGCTGATGGCAATTAGGATATTCATACACACAGAAACTACCTACAGGAAAATTACTAATCCAGTTTAATATTTCTTTGACGACATGGACAGTAGGATTGAGTGCGCTCTCAGCAAGTTTGCAGATGACACCAAGCTGTGTGGTGTGGCTGACACACCTGAGGGTCAGTCATGATGCCATCCAGAGGGACTTGGACAAGCTCAAGAAGCGACACCATGTAAACTTCATGAGGTTCAACAAAGCCAAGTGTAGGGTCTTGCACAAGGGTCGGGGCAATCCACAGTATCAATACAAATGAGGGATGAAGGGATTGAGAGCAGCCCTGAGGAGAAGGACTTGGGGGCACTCGTGGATGAAAAGTGGGACATGAGCTGACAACGTGTGCTCTTGCAGCCCAGAAAGCCAACTGTATACTGGGCTGCATCCAAAGAAGCATGGCCAGCAGGTCAAGGGAGGTGATTCTGCCCCTCTGCTCTGCTCTCACGAGACCCCATCTGCAGTAGTGTGTTCAGCGCTGGGGCTCTCAACATAAGGACATGGATATGTTGCAGTGGATCCAGAGGAGGGCTACAAAGATGATCCGAGGGCTTGAGCACCTCTCCTATGAGGACAGGCTGAGAGAGTTGGGGTTGCTCAGCCTGGAGAAGAGAAAGCTCTGGGGTGATCTTATCGCAGCCTTCCAGTATCTAAAGGGGCCCACAAGAAAGCTGGAGAGGGACTTTTTACAAGGGCGTATAGTGATAGGACAAGGGGCAATGGCTTTAAATGAAAGAGGGCAGATTTCTATTAGATCCAAGGAAGAAATTCTTCACTCTGAGGGTGGTGAGGCACTGGAACAGGTTGCCGAGAGAAGTTGTGGATGCCCCATTCCTGGAAGTGTTCAAGGCTGAGTTGGATGAGGCTTTGAGCAACCTGATCTAGTGGAAGGTGTCCCTGCCTGTGGTAGGGGGGTTGGAACTAGATCGTCTTTGAGGTCCCTTCCAACTCTAACCATTCTATGATCTGTTATCTGTTGCTCACAACAAATATAATGAGACAACAGTGCTTTTTCATGATGAGGTAAAGTAACTCCAAGTGCATTATTCTTGCTACTTGGTAGGAGCTAGGAGCCCTCACACTAAGTTAAAGTGGAGCACATGCTGCAGGGCAATCTATCACCCTATAGTAATCTGCTCAAACATCAATCATGACCTCCATCCATTATAAGTAACTGTTATTAAGCTTGTTGTCAAAAACATTCTGTGCAAAGTTCTTACCTTTCAGACAAAGTATAACACACAGAGACAAGGGGAGTCAGGATTGACTGCCAGAGAGGAATTAAGAAGTAGTGTCTTAAAGGTAGCATTCATCATCTACCAAGTACTTGATTTTGCACTTAGGTGTCACTCAGTATTTCTCACAGACAAAGATGACAACACTGGGGAAGGTGTGAGCGAGTCAAGCTTGGACTCACTTGGTGCATGTGTGGGTGACTATACAAGTCTGTATACAAGGAGTGTGGTTTTATTTTTAATTGATGCAACATTAGTAAATGTTCTTTTAAGATTGCTTTATCATATTTAGTTACTGTTACACAGTATATACGAGAATTTGATGGCATTATTTTCCTGTTTCTTTGCCTAATCTAGCACAACAGAGTGGCATCACTTTACAAAGCCTACCTGAGTTTCAGTGGATGTAAAAGAAGACTCATCTTCTTTGGAAGCCGGAGGCAGGGATTCATTAAGCGGAGGTGGTTCAGACTGCTGAGTTGAAGCGCTCACTTTCCCTTCTTCAGACTTTGCTCTCTGCTCAGATGCATCCTTCACTACTGGACCTTTCATTTGCTGCTGTCCCTGAGCATGGGCTTTTGCCCTTTGCTGCAGGCTAAGCAGGTGCTGCTGGTACCAGTATTGCTGCTGTTCCTACAACAGACAGAAATTTTCTAAGACAGCTTTCACGGGAAAACCTATGAAAATTAATTAATGACAGTCACTAGAATCATACTCTAGAAGTTTTAAAACCTGTTTTGAGGGAAAACTCACTTCGACATCAACAGTATTGCAATGGATGTCGGAAGATCAAATCAAAATTCAGAAATCACTATGTGAGGTATAGTACCGGCAGCAGAATTTATTTCCTACCTCAAAGAGCTTACAACTGAAGAGAACGATAATGAAAAGCAGAATGGCCAGTAATGAGCCAAATTACTACAGATATGTGACAAGTATCATACTTAGTGTTTTTAGTGCTTTTTATTCCGAACAACTACAGGTACTTATGAGACTAACTTAGGTAAAATGAAGGGAAATGGAGGACAAGTATAAGCAAGGGAGCAGTAAAGAGGAAAAGGAGAAAATGTACAAAAAAGATGAAGAGGAAAGAGAACAGACATCAAGTAGAGTGAAAATGACAGCTGAGAAATTGTGGTGGAGACATTTAAATACAGGCTGTGGAAAAGAAAAAGATGACAACCAGCATATAGTGAGGATTATTTATCATCTGAATTCTCATTAATTCTGATTCATCCAACAGCTGAAGAGGTGAATGGATAATTTTTTGGGTGCAACCCTATCTAAGAAGTTATCAAGCTTTCACTTTTAAATATTCCAGGCTAGAATTAGAGTACTCTGGGCAGATGACAGTAACTTCATCAAAGCACTGAAAGCTGCCACCAATATTAAGAACAAAAGACTAAAGATAAGTATCTCAGCACTTAAGGAGTGGTGCATCTTGAAGAGACCTGAATAGGAACCAACAGTTCTGTATCTTTTCCAATACAAGAAACATCAGGCACCAAATCAGACTAGCAGGACACAGACTTAAAATATATGGGAGGCAGCTCTTCACCTGACATGACTTTCTGCTACCAAAGCCCCTGCCAGAGACCACTGCGAGGGCTAAAATTTTGTGGATTGAAGCACAGCTCTATAAGCTCATAGAAGAAAAATCTTCAGATTTTAAAAATAAAGACACCAATTGCAGATAAAGCAGCTCCTATATTTTAGGGAAGTATCACTAGATACTTGGTTTTTAAGTTATTCTCTTAGCGTCTGATTTTAGTCACTGTCAAATACAATCATTCTTGTGCTCTCACGTCAATTCCACCACCTCTGAGAATTTGTGACTGCTCTACATCTTTCATATCCTCTGTTCTTCCCTTCCATCGAAGCATGCACAGTTAAGAAAAGACACCTATATAAAGCCCACTCGGAAACAGAAAAGAATCCAAAAGACGCAGGTATTTTAAAATATAAGTGTGACAACAACAAAGTGGTAGGCGCTGTCTGATGAGATTTCTCAAAAGTGAGCCGTTCTGCCTATCTTAAAACAGGTTTAAAAGAAGCATGAGTTTCCTCCAAAAGCCCACCTCATGCTCTCAGGAATGGTGTTTTGTATTGGTAGCAACCTAGTGGACACAATTAAACACAAAGCTGTATTTTTTTTTTTTTAAAAAAAACACACTTCTATAAAACTGTAACTTGGAGATGAGGTCAATGAGAGTTTCTTGGACTTTATGTTGATCCTGCAACAGCTCCTGTCAAGAATCTTTTAACAAGAATACAACTCAGAAGAGTTGTTAAGGCTTTGGGTGGAAGACGTGGATTCATATTCCAGCACGGACACTCTCAGAAACCTTCAACAACATGCTGTACTAAGTGCAACTTCCAACAGCAGAGAGGAGCATACGTCCCCAGCTATACAGAAGCTGATTCAATTATCCCTCTCAAAAGGTATTATAAGGTGAACTACCATGACAGTGCTGGATGCTATGCTTAGTGAGCACCTGTTCTCCTGCCACAAACTTCTTGTCTCCAGTGATCCGTTTTGTTTCTTCTCATTCTACCAATTGGGCAAAGAGCTAAAACTCATAATATGATCAGTGGTTCACACAAAGAACTATGATAATATTGTCACCTATTTTTTGCAGCCGATGAAGGCAGTGACACATGTATTGCAGGTTCTAACTGAAAAGTGTGAGAAAAGTGGAATGGTAGATTCCTACAGCTTAGTCTGAGCAAAACAGAAGTGCTAGTGCCCACACATGCCAAAAGACTACTTCAAAATGAACTTAGGTGACTGTAGGCCATAACATAATGCCTATTTTAAGGGAAAACTCAGTCCTTTTCTAGTAAAGATAGCAAAATAATAGTTTAGCATCCTTTATAAAACAAAGTGCAACAGTCTGCTGAAAGGTGACATGGTAAAGATAAGTTAGCTTTAAGAAACGTAGATGAATGCATATGTAAGGGTACAAGTGCACTCACACATCTGTTTACTTCTGAAAATAAATAGCAGCATACAGTACTCAAATACCAGATTAATGAATGAATGAACTAATCAGATTAATGAAATACCACAGGTATCTGAACAAGACTTGACAAAAGATGCATTTGACTGTAAAAAAACACAAGAATCCAGTAATTTAATCCAGCTGTACACCCACGTAAGAAACTACGCTAAAGTCACAACACTGTCAAGGCAAAGAGTGGTATCTCGTTTTCACACAGGAAAGGGAAATAATAAAACATTAACTCACAGCAAATTGCATAATATTTTCTATGTTAAGAGAAAAACACTGATCTATTTGGCTGTAGCCACTGTTACTGCAGGATGAGAACAGAAAGAATTGTTTCCAATTACCAGTTTAAACACAGGCTTAACAGGATCTTATCAATGACAAATAACAGTATTTCTCTAGTTGGCTTTTAAAATCATTAGCAAGAAAGCATCGCTATGCTTTCCTGTTCCTATTGTCTAAGGACTTGTTGCTCCAAATCCTGTCTCATATTACAGCCTAAGATAGCCAAAATCGTATCAATTTGTTATAACAAATTTATGACCAGCAAAGTACCATATTCCTTCTGAACTAACACTGAATTGTGCACGAGAGTAAACCAAGTACTCAAGATAGAAGTTGTCTGTATAAACACTCATAAACCAAACCATGTAAAACTTCAGCACTATTCTGCTTCTTCTGTGCGTGCACCACAATAATGCATTACTTCTGACTCTTCTGGCAAAGAGAGAGTGATTGAGGAACAATTAAATAACTTCAATGAAATTTCAGGCTACATAAGCAGGGAGGAATTACAGCTTACTGTTCAGTCTTGAGTTTGATAGTTTAATAAGTCAGCAAGCAGCCTCAACACCAAATTAGTGTCACTTTCTACATCTGATTTTTCAAGGTTTTGTCATTAAAAAAATGTAATGAGTCCCATTGCCATCACTGTAAAAGATCAACTAGTACTGTCCAAAACCTTTTTAAAATTAATGAACTGAAAGCACCACTGTGCTAGGCAGCAATTAATTATATGACGCAAACTTAAAAATGATACATTCCCAAACATATTCAGGTATTGGTATGAAATATTAATGGATACAATGAAAAAGGTGTCCCAATGATTAACAAATTTAAAGTCAGTGACATCAATATGACGCAACAGGATTTTTGCAAACTTAGCTTCAAATCAGAATCCCTAGATCAGTTTGCCAAAAATAGACGGATGCCTTTTAAACTTAAAAAAAGTCAACTTAAAGCATGCACTTCACCTTTGTTCTTGCAAACAAAGATCTCTAGAAACCAAACCTAAAGCCATGCAAAAGCCTCAGTGAATCTATCTGACCTGTACACGCGGCCGAGGACCTCAACACCACGTCTCTCTGTGCACATTTAACCTTAAGCGACTGCATCGTCCCTAACTCAATGCATATGAATGGTCACATCGAGTTCACTGGAACTGGTCACTTTTAGGAAATGAATCATACAACATATTGCAGGCATTTTGGCCCTAGTGCACACATAAAAAGTGCACAGCACTAACAATATTTTTCACCTCAAAAGCACTTCAGAACATTTCCCTCCAACGTCCCATACGATTTTATACTGGAAGATCAAGCACGCGTAGCACAAAACGTGTAAGTAAGTCTAAGTAAAGGGCAACTACATACTCCAACAGAAACGCTTCTGTAGCTTTAACTATGTGTGGTAAGATTAAAATAGTCACAATTCTACACTGATCAGACAAATGAAACACGACCCCATGAGAAAACTAAATGAAGAAATCACTGAAGACAAGAGGCACTTGCCCTGCAACTTGCAACAAGCAGACTGTTGCATCTCACAACAGGCCAGATGAAGTCAATGGAGGTTTGGTGCAAGTCGCCCATGTGCTGTATTTTGGAGAACTATTCTCTAGAAACCAACAACCCCCCCAAGAAAATTAAATTCTCCCAGGAGTTAGACTTTTCCCTAAATAACTCATTTGCAAAAACGATTATTTGTTACATTCTGACAACCACCATTGGATAAAGAAGCATTTACAGAGCCTCGCCTGAGCCATGCCATTCCCAGACTTCCAAGGCTTGCGTCCAAACCCTTTAAGCATCATACAAATACGGCGTGTTTATTAATTGCCCTTTGCAACGGAGATGTTTGCAACACTCCGTACCCACCAGCAGTTAATTGCAACCCCTGCCCTGGCAATTCCCTGCTGCCAGCCGGAGCTGCAGGTGCAAACGCGGAGTCGGTGTTGCCTTACCTGGGGAGTCATGGTGGAGGGGTCCGGCTGCTCGGTGCCACCGGCCTCCTTAGCGGCACCCTGCACGGCCTCCGGCTGG